GGTCTATGGGGCAATGGGGGATCTATGGGGCAATGGGGGATCTATGGGGTGGGGGTCTATGGGGCAATGGGGGATCTATGGGGCAATGGGGGATCTATGGGGCAATGGGGGATCTATGGGGTGGGGATCTATCCCGCAATGACGGATCTAACAGGTCGGTATCTATGGGGCAATGGGGGATCTATGGGGTGGGGATCTATGGGGTGGGGATCTATGGGGCAATGGGGGATCTATGGGGTGGGGATCTATGGGGCAATGGGGGATCTATGGGGCAATGGGGGATCTATGGGGTGGGGATCTATGGGGCAGGGATCTATGGGGCAAAGGGGGATCTATGGGGCAATGGGGGATCTATGGGGTGGGGGTCTATGGGGCAATGGGGGATCTATGGGGCAAAGGGGGATCTATGGGGCAATGGGGGATCTATGGGGCATGGATCTATGGGGCAATGGGGGATCTATGGGGCAGGGATCTATGGGGCAAAGGGGGATCTATGGGGCAGGGATCTATGGGGCAGGGATCTCTGGGGCAAAGGGGGATCTCTGGGGCAGGGATCTCTGGGGCAAAGGGGGATCTCTGGGGCAAAGGGGGATCTATGGGGCAGGGATCTATGGGGCAAAGGGGGATCTATGGGGCAAAGGGGGATCTATGGGGCAGGGATCTATAGGGCAAAGGGGGATCTATGGGGCAAAGGGGGATCTATGGGGCAGGGATCTATGGGGCAAAGGGGGATCTATGGGGCAAAGGGGGATCTATGGGCAAAGGGGGATCTATAGGGCAAAGGGGGATCTCTGGGGCAAAGGGGGATCTATGGGGCAGGGATCTCTGGGGCAAAGGGGGATCTATGGGGCAAAGGGGGATCTATGGGGCAGGGATCTCTGGGGCAAAGGGGGATCTATGGGGCAGGGATGTATGGGGCAAAGGGGGATCTATAGGGCAATGGAGCATCTATAGGGCAATGGGAGATCTATGGGGCATCTATGGGGCAATGGGGGATCTATAGGGCAATGAGGGATCTCTGGGGCAAAGGGGGATCTATGGGGCAGGGATCTATGGGGTGACCCCCCCCCCACAACCAACCACCCTCCGGTGACCGAGAAGCAGCAACTTTAATCCAAAGCAATGGGGGGGAGATGGGGGGCGGTGTTTCTGTAGGACCTACAACAACCCCCCCCCCCCCCGCCCCCCAAGTCCCATTGGACCCCCCCCATAGGGGTCTATAGGGCCCCCCATAGGGGTCTATAGGGCCCTCCCCCCCCCCCCACATTCAAAGTGCTATTGGGTGCCTCAGTGGGGGGAGTCTCACTATGGGGCTGCCCCATAGAGCTCTATAGGGTGGTTATGATGGGGTCCCCCCCCATCCCACACGATGGGGCTGCCCCATAGCCCATAGTTCTATAGGGGGGTCCCACTATGGGGGTGCCCCATAGAGACACTGTTGGGGGACCCCCATCTCCCACTATGGGGCTGCCCCATAGAGACACTATGGGGGGACCCCCATATCCCACTATGGGGCTGCCCCATAGAACCACTATTGGGGGACCCCCATATCCTACTATGGGGCTGTTCCACAGAGCCATATAGGGGGGGACCCCCATATCCCACTATGGGGCTGCCCCATAGAACCACTATAGGGGGACCCCCATATCCCACTATGGGGCTGCCCCATAGAACCGCTATTGGGGGAAACCCCCCCACATCCCTCTATGGGGCTGCCCCATAGAACCGCTATTGGGGGACCCCCATATCCCACTATGGGGCTGCCCCATAGAGACACTATGGGGGGACCCCCATATCCCACTATGGGGCTGCCCCATAGAACCACTATTGGGGGACACCCCCCCACATCCCACTATGGGGCTGCCCCATAGAACCACTATAGGGGGACCCCCATATCCTACTATGGGGCTGTTCCACAGAGCCATATAGGGGGGGACCCCCATATCCCACTATGGGGCTGCCCCATAGAACCACTATAGGGGGACCCCCATATCCCACTATGGGGCTGCCCCATAGAACCGCTATTGGGGGACCCCCATATCCCACTATGGGGCTGCCCCATAGAGACACTATGGGGGGACCCCCATATCCCACTATGGGGCTGCCCCATAGAACCACTATTGAGGGACACCCCCCCACATCCCTCTATGGGGCTGCCCCATAGAACCACTATAGGGGGACCGCCATATCCCACTATGGGGCTGCCCCATAGAGCCATAGAGCCATATAGGGGGGACCCCCATCCCACACGATGGGGCTGCCCCATAGCCCATAGTTCTATAGGGGGGTCCCACTATGGGGGTGCCCCATAGAGACACTGTTGGGGGACCCCCATATCCCACTATGGGGCTGCCCCATAGAACCGCTATTGGGGGACCCCCATATCCCACTATGGGGCTGCCCCATAGAACCACTATAGGGGGACCCCCATATCCCACTATGGGGCTGCCCCATGGAACCACTATAGGGGGACCCCCATACCCCACTATGGGGCTGCCCCATAGAACCACTATAGGGGGACCCCCATATCCTACTATAGGGCTGTTCCACAGAGCCATATAGGGGGGGAACCCCATATCCCACTATGGGGCTGCCCCATAGAACCGCTATTGGGGGACCCCCATATCCCACTATGGGGCTGCCCCATAGAACCACTATAGGGGGACCCCCATATCCCACTATGGGGCTGCCCCATAGAACCACTATTGAGGGACACCCCCCCACATCCCTCTATGGGGCTGCCCCATAGAACCACTATAGGGGGACCGCCATATCCCACTATGGGGCTGCCCCATAGAGCCATATAGGGAGTCCCCCCATCCCACACGATGGGGCTGCCCCATAGCCCATAGTTCTATAGGGGGGTCCCACTATGGGGGTGCCCCATAGAGACACTATGGGGGGACCCCCATATCCCACTATGGGGCTGCCCCATAGAGCCATATAGGGGGGACCCCCATCCCACACGATGGGGCTGCCCCATAGCCCATAGTTCTATAGGGGGGTCCCACTATGGGGGTGCCCCATAGAGACACTATGGGGGGACCCCCATATCCCACTATGGGGCTGCCCCATGGAGCCATATAGGGGGGACCCCCATATCCCACTATGGGGCTGCCCCATAGAGACACTGTTGGGGGACCCCCATATCCCACTATGGGGCTACCCCATAGAGACACTGTTGGGGGACCCCCATATCCCACTATGGGGCTGCCCCATAGAACCACTATTGGGGGACACCCCCCCACATCCCTCTATGGGGCTGCCCCATAGAACCACTATAGGGGGACCCCCACGTCCCACTATAGGGCTGCCCCATAGAACCACTATAGGGGGACCCCCACGTCCCACTATAGGGGTGTCCCATAGAGCAATATAGGGGTGCCCCATAGAACCACTATAGGGGGGTTGTCCCCCCCCACATCCCTCTATGGGGCTGCCCCATAGAACCACTATAGGGGGACGCCTCCCACCCATCCCTCTATGGGGCTGCCCCATAGAACCCCTATCAATGCCCCCCCCATCACTTCTGCCCTTGGGTACCACTGCGCATCCCGCATCCTTCATCCCAAATGGGGTAGAAACCCTCCTATTTTGGGGTAGAAAAACCCGATTTTGGGGGCGTTTTCGGGGCTTAACTTATGGGGCGGACCCCCACATCCCTCTATGGGGCTGCCCCATAGAACCCCTCTCATTCCCCACCCCCTCCCCATCACTTCCCTCCTTGGGTACCACTTCGCATCCCGCATCCTTCATCCCACATGGGGTGGAAACCCTCCTATTTTGGGGTAGAAAAACCCGATTTTGGGGGCGTTTTCGGGGCTTTAACTTATGGGGCGGACCCCCACATCCCTCTATGGGGCTGCCCCATAGAACCCCTCTCAACCCCCCCCCCCCTCCCCATCAGTTCCCCCCCTTGGGTACCACTTCGCATCCCGCATCCTTCATCCCACATGGGGGTAAAAACCCTCCTATTTTGGGGTAGAAAAACCCGATTTTGGGGGTGTTAACTTATGGGGCGGACCCCCACATCCCTCTATGGGGCTGCCCCATAGAACCCCTCTCAACCCCCCCCCTCCCCATCACTCCCCTCCTTGGGTACCACTTCGCATCCCGCATCCTTCATCCCACATGGGGGTAAAAACCCTCCTATTTTGGGGTAGAAAAACCGGATTTTGGGGGGGATTTTGGGGCTTAACTTATGGGGCAGACCCCAAAGTCCCTCTATGGGGCTGCCCCATAGAATCCCTCTCAATCCCCCCCCCCTCCCCATCATTTTCCTCCTTGGGTACCACTTCGCATCCCGCATCCTTCATCCCACACGGGGGTAAAAACCCTCCTATTTTGGGGTAGAAAAACCGGATTTTGGGGGGGGTTTCGGGGCTTAACTTATGGGGGGGACCCCAAAGTCCCTCTATGGGGCTGCCCCATAGAACCCCTCTCAACCCCCCTCCCCCTCCCCATCACTCCTCCCCTTGGGTACCACTTCGCATCCCGCATCCTTCATCCCACATGGGGGTAAAAACCCTCCTATTTTGGGGTAGAAAAACCGGATTTTGGGGGCGTTTTCGGCTCTTTAACTTATGGGGCGGACCCCCACATCCCTCTATGGGGCTGCCCCATAGAACCCCTCTCAAACTCCCCCCCCCTCCCCATCACTTCCCCCCTTGGGTACCACTTCGCATCCCGCATCCTTCATCCCACATGGGGGTAAAAACCCTCCTATTTTGGGGTAGAAAAACCCGATTTTGGGGGTGTTAACTTATGGGGGGGACCCCAATACCCCTCTATGGGGCTGCCCCATAGAACCCCTCTCAATCCCCCCCCCCCTCCCCATCAGCTCCCTCCTTGGGTACCACTTCGCATCCCGCATCCTTCATCCCACATGGGGGTAAAAACCCTCCTATTTTGGGGTAGAAAAACCGGATTTTGGGGGGGTTTTCGGGGTTTAACTTATGGGGCAGACCCCCACCCTATATCTAGGGGTGTCCCCCCCCCCACTTTAGGAGAGTTGATGTGGGGCTTCGAGCATCTCCATGAGGAAGGTGTCGATGGGGGTGTCCCCGATGAGCTTGAAGAAGAAGAGATGCTCCAGGCACTTGAGGCCAATGGAGCGCAGGGCAGGGAGGCGGAGGAGGAGCTTGGCGAACCTGAAAATGGGGTGAAAAAGGGGGATTTTGGGTAAAAAGGAAGGGGGAAAGGGTTTTGGGGTGAAAAAGGGGGGGTTTGGGGGGGAAATGGGGGGAAATGGGGGGGAAATTGGTTCTTTTTGGGGGGGAAAGGGGGGAGAAAAGGTTTTGGGGTGAAAAAGGGGGATTTTGGGTAAAAAGGAAGGGGGAAAAGGGTTTTGGGGTGAAATTGGGGGGGTTTGGGGGGGAAATTGGTTTTTTTTGGGGGGGAAATTAGGGGGTTTTGGGGGGTAAAGGGGGAGAAAAGGTTTTGGGGTGAAAAAGGGAGTTTTTGGGTTAAATTGGGGGGGAATGGGGGGAAAGGGTTTTGGGGTGAAAAAGGGGGATTTTGGGTTAAATTGGGGGGATTTGGGGGGGAAAATGGGGGGGAATGGGGGGGTAAAGGGGAGAAAAGGTTTTGGGGTGAAAAATGGGGTTTTTGGGTTAAATTGGGGGGATTTGGGGTGAATTTGGGGGGATTTGGGGGGGGAAATGGGGGGGAAAGGGTTTTGGGGTGAAAAATGGGATTTTGGGGTTAAATTGGGGGGATTTGGGGTGAAATTTGGGGGGTTTTGGGGGGGAAATGGGGAGGAAAGGGGAGAAAAGGTTTTGGGGTGAAAAAGGGAGTTTTTGGGTTAAATTGGGGGGGAATGGGGGGAAAGGGTTTTGGGGTGAAAAAAGGGGATTTTGGGTTAAATTGGGGGGATTTGGGGGGGAAAATGGGGGGGAATGGGGGGGTAAAGGGGAGAAAAGGTTTTGGGGTGAAAAAGGGGGATTTTGGGTTTAAATTGGGGGGATTTGGGGTGAAATTGGGGTGTTTTGGGGGGGAAAATGGGGGGTTTTGGGGGGGAAGGGGAGAAAAGTTTTTGGGGTGAAAAAGGGTGTTTTTGGGTTAAATTGGGAGGATTTGGGGTGAAATTGGGGGGTTTTGGGGGGGTAAAGGGGGAGAAAAGGTTTTGGGGTGAAAAAGGGGGTTTTTGGGTTAAATTGGGGGGGAAAGGGTGGGAAAGGGTTTTGGGGTGAAAAAGGGGGTTTTTGGGTTTAAATTGGGGGGATTTGGGGTGAAATTGGGGGGGGTTGGGGGGAAATTGGGGGGGGTTGGGGGGAAATTGGGGCATTTGGGGTGAAATTGGCTCTTTTTGGGGGAAATGGGGGGGAATGGGGGGAGAAAAAGTTTTGGGGTGAAATTAGGGTTTTTTGGGAGCAAATTGGGGGGATTTGGGGTGAAATTGGGGGTTTTGGGGGGGAAATGGGGGGGAATGGGGGGTAAAGGGGGAGAAAAAGTTTTGGGGTGAAAAATGGGGTTTTTGGGTTAAATTGGGGGGATTTGGGGGGAAATGGGGGGGTTTGGGGGAGAAATTAGGGGCTTTTGGGGCGGTAAAGGGGGAGAAAAGGTTTTGGGGTGAAAAAGGGGGTTTTTGGGTTTAAATTGGGAGGATTTGGGGTGAAATTGGGGGGGTTGGGGGGGATTTGGGGGGAAAGGGGAGAAAAGGTTTTGGGGTGAAAAAGGGGGTTTTTGGGTTTAAATCGGGGGGTTTTGGGGTGAAATTGGGGGGTTTTGGGTCAATGTGATGCATTTGAGGCTCGGATGCATTTTGGGGTGAATTGGGGCAGTTTTGGGTCATTCGGATGCTTTTTGGGGTGAATTCCACGTGTTTTGGGGTCATTTTGATGCATTTTGGGCTGAATTTGACGCATTTTGGGCTGAATTTGATTTTTTTTGGCTGAATTTGATGTTTTTTGGGCTGAATTTGACGCATTTTGGGCTGAATTTGATGTTTTTTGGTCTGAATTTGATGTTTTTGGGCTGAATTTGATGCATTTTGGGTTGAATTTGATGCATTTTGGGCTGAATCTGATGTTTTTTGGGCTGAATCTGATGTATTTTGGGGCTGAATCTGATGTTTTTTGGGCTGAATTTGATGTTTTTTGGGGTGAAATTGATGTATTTTGGCCTCATTTTGATGTATTTTGGGTTGAATTCCGCGTGTTTTGGGTCATTTTGATGTTTTTGGGGCTGAATTTGATGTATTTTGGGCTGAATTCCGTGCGTTTTGGGTCATTTTGATGCATTTTGGGTTGAATTCCGCGTGTTTTGAGTCATTTTGATGTATTTTGGGCTGAATTCCGTGCGTTTTGGGTCATTTTGATGCATTTTGGGCTGAATTCCGCGCGTTTGGCCTCATTTTGATGCATTTTGGGCTGAATTCCGTGCGTTTTGGGACATTTTGGGCTGAATTCCGCGCGTTTTGGGTCATTTTAACGCATTTTGGGTTGAATTCCGCGTGTTTTGGGTCATTTTGGGTTGAATTCCGCGTGTTTTGGGTTGAAATTGATGTTTTTTGGCCTCATTTTGATGTATTTTGGGTTGAATTCCGCGTGTTTTGGGTCATTTTGATGGATTTTGGGGTGAATTTGATGCATTTTGGGCTGAATTTGATGTTTTTTGGGTGAAATTGATGTTTTTTGGCCTCATTTTGGGTCATTTTGGGGTGAATTCCGCGCGTTTCGGGTCATTTTGATGTATTTTGGGTTGAATTCCGCGTGTTTTGGGTCATTTGGATGCATTTTGGGTTGAATTCCGCGTGTTTTGGGTCATTTTGACGTATTTTGGGCTGAATTTGATGTTTTTTGGGTGAAATTGATGTATTTTGGGCTGAATTCCGCGTGTTTTGGGTCATTTTGATGGATTTTGGGGTGAATTTGATGTATTTTGGGCTGAAATTGATGTTTTTTGGGTGAAATTGATGTTTTCGGCCTCATTTTGGTTCATTTTGGGCTGAATTCCGCGCGTTTTGGCCTCATTTTGGGTTGAATTCCGCGCGTTTTGGGTCATTTTGATGTATTTTGGGTCATTTTGATGCATTTTGGGCTGAATTTGATGTTTTTTGGGTGAAATTGATGTATTTTGGCCTCATTTTGATGTATTTTGGGCTGAATTCCGCGTGTTTTGGGTCATTTTGATGGATTTTGGGGTGAATTTGATGCATTTTGGGTTGAATTCCGCGCGTTTTGGGTCATTTTGATGTATTTTGGGCTGAATTTGATGTTTTTGGGGTGAAATTGATGTTTTCTGACCTCATTTTGACGTATTTTGGGCTGAATTCCGCGCGTTTTGGGTCATTTTGATGGATTTTGGGCTGAATTCGATGCATTTTGGGCTGAATTTGATGTTTTTTGGGTGAAATTGATGTTTTTGGCCTCATTTTGGGTCATTTTGGGTTGACTTCCGCGCGTTTTGGGTCATTTTGAAGCATTTTGGCCTGAATTTGATGCATTTTGGGCTGAATTCTGTGCGTTTTGGGTCATTTTGGGCTGAATTCCGCGTGTTTTGGGTCATTTTAACGCATTTTGGGTTGAATTCCGCGTGTTTTGAGTCATTTTGACGTATTTTGGGCTGAATTCCGCGCGTTTTGGGTCATTTTGGCCTCATTTTGGGCTGAATTTGATGTTTTTTGGGTGAAATTGATGTTTTTGGCCTCATTTTGGCCTCATTTTGGGTTGAATTCCGCGCGTTTCGGGTCATTTTGATGTATTTTGGTCTGAATTTGATGTTTTTTGGGTGAAATTGATGTTTTCGGCCTCATTTTGGGGTGAATTCCGCGCGTTTCGGGTCCGCCCGCACCTGCCCTGCTGCTCCGGGTACCGCTGCTTGCAGTACGCCTCCAGCCCCGCGTAAACCTTCTCCCGCAGCAGCTCCACCTCGGCCGCGTTGGACAGGCCCTTGGCATCTATGGGGCACAGCGGCAACGGCGACCCACAAGTCAGCCCCATGGACCCACGCGGGGCTGCCCCATAGGGATGCTATGGGGCTGAACCATAGGGATGCTATGGGGGGAGCTCCCCTATGTCCCGCTATGGGGCTGAACCATAGGGATGCTATGGGGGGAGAGCTATAGACTGCTATGGGGCTGAACCATAGGGATGCTGTGGGGGGAACCCTATGTCCCGCTATGGGGCTGAACCATAGGGATGCTATGGGGGGAGAGCTATAGCCCGCTATGGGGCTGCCCCATAGGGATGCTATGGGGGGAGCTCCCCTATGTCCCGCTATGGGGCTGAACCATAGGGATGCTATGGGGGGAGCTCCCCTATATCCCGCTATGGGGCTGCCCCATAGGGATGCTATGGGGGGAAACCTATGTCCTGCTATGGGGCTGCCCCATAGGGATGCTATGGGGGGAAACCTATGTCCTGCTATGGGGCTGAACCATAGGGATGCTGGGGGGGGAAACCTGTGTCCCGCTATGGGGCTGCCCCTAGGGATGCTGTGGGGCTGAACCATAGGGATGCTATGGGGTGAGAGCTATAGCCTGCTATGGGGCTGCCCCCTAGAAACACTATAGTGGGACCCCCCTATATCCTGCTATGGGGCTGCCCCATAGGGATGCTATGGGGGGAGAGCTATAGCCCGCTATGGGGCTGAACCATAGGGATGCTGTGGGGCTGAACCATAGGGATACTATGGGGGGAGCTCCCCTATATCCCGCTATGGGGCTGAACCATAGGGATGCTGGGGGGGGAACCCTATGTCCTGCTATGTGGCTGCCCCATAGGGATGCTATGGGGCTGAACCATAGGGATGCTATGGGGGGAGAGCTATAGCCCGCTATGGGGCTGAACCATAGGGATGCTGTGGGGCTGAACCATAGGGATGCTGTGGGGGGAGAGCTATAGCCCACTATGGGGCTGCCCCCTATATCCCACTATGAGGCTACCCCCTATATCCCGCTATGGGGCTGCTCCCTATATCCTGCTATGGGGCTGCCCCATAGAAACACTATAGTGCAACCCTCTCTATATCCCGCTATGGGGCTGCCCCATAGGAATGCTGTGGGGGGAGAGCTATAGCCCGCTATGGGGCTGAACCATAGGGATGCTATGGGGCTGAACCATAGGGATGCTATGGGGGGAACCCTATGTCCCGCTGTGGGGCTGAACCATAGGGATGCTGTGGGGGGAGATCTAGATCCTGCTATGGGGCTGCCCCATAGAAACACTATAGTGCAACCCTCTCTATATCCCGCTATGGGGCTGCCCCATAGGGATGCTATGGGGGGAGAGCTATAGCCCGCTATGGGGCTGCCCCCTATATCCTGCTATGGGGCTGCCCCCTATATCCTGCTATGGGGCTGAACCATAGGGATGCTGTGGGGGGAGAGCTATAGCCCGCTATGGGGCTGCCCCCTGTATCCTGCTATGGGGCTGAACCATAGGGATGCTGTGGGGGGAGAGCTATAGCCCACTATGGGGCTGCCCCATAGAAACACTACAGTGGGACCCCCCCTATATCCCGCTATGGGGCTGCCCCATAGGGATGCTATGGGGGGAGAGCTATAGCCCGCTATGGGGCTGCCCCATAGAAACACTATAGTGGGACTCCCCCATGTCTCACTATGAGGCTGCCCCATAGAGACACTATGTGGTGACCCCTATATCCCGCTATGGGGCTGCCCCATAGACCCACCATGGGGCTGCCCCCTATGTCCCGCTATGGGGCTGCCCCATAGCGCCCCTCTGAGCATCCCCCTGCCCCATATCCCACACTGGTACCCCCATGGACCACTGCCGTTATCCCTGCATCCCTATGGGGAGCATCCTTTACCCGGGTTAAAGAGGATGATGGGGCTGCCCCATAGACACGCAATGGGGCTGCCCCCTATGTCCCGCTATGGGGCTGCCCCATAGAAACACTACAGTGGGACTCCCCCATGTCTCACTATGCGGCTGCCCCATAGAGACACTATGCGGTGACCCCTATATCCCGCTATGGGGCTGCCCCATAGACCCACGATGGGGCTGCCCCCTATGTCCCGCCATGGGGCTGCCCCATAGAAACACTATAGTGGGACTCCCCCATGTCTCACTATGAGGCTGCCCCATAGAGACACTATGTGGTGACCCCTATATCACGCTATGGGGCTGCCCTATAGAGGCACTATGGGGCTGCCCCCTATGTCCCGCTATGGGGCTGCCCCATAGACCCCCTCTGAGCGTCCCCCTGCCCCATATCCCACACTGGTACCCCCATGGACCACTGCCGTTATCCCTGCATCCCTATGGGGAGCATCCTTTACCCGGGTTAAAGAGGATGATGGGGCTGCCCCATAGACCCACAATGGGGCTGCCCCCTATGTCCCGCTATGGGGCTGCCCCCTATGTCCCGCTATGGGTCTGCCCCATAGAAACACTATAGTGGGACACCTCTATGTCTCACTATGCGGTTGCCCCATAGAGACACTATGTGGTGACCCCTATATCACGCTATGGGGCTGCCCTATAGAAGCACTATGGGGCTGCCCCCTATGTCCCGCTATGGGGCTGCCCCATAGAAACACTATAGTGGGACTCCCCCATGTCTCACTATGAGGCTGCCCCATAGAGACACTATGTGGTGACCCCTATATCACGCTATGGGGCTGCCCTATAGAGGCACTATGGGGCTGCCCCCTATGTCCCGCTATGGGGCTGCCCCATAGCGCCCCTCTGAGCATCCCCCTGCCCCATATTCCACACTGGTACCCCCATGGACCACTGCTGTTATCCCTGCATCCCTATGGGGAGCATCCTTTACCCGGGTTAAAGAGGATGATGGGGCTGCCCCATAGACACGCAATGGGGCTGCCCCCTATATCCCGCTATGGGGCTGCCCCATAGCGCCCCTCTGAGGGTCCCTTACCCGGGTTGAAGAGGATGATGGGGCTGCCCCATAGACCCACCATGGGGCTGCCCCCTATGTCCCGCTATGGGGCTGCCCCCTATATCCCGCTATGGGGCTGCCCCATAGAAACACTATAGTGGGACTCCCCCATGTCTCACTATGCGGCTGCCCCATAGAGACACTATGCGGTGACCCCTATATTCCGCTATGGGGCTGCCCCATAGACCCACGATGGGGCTGCCCCCTATGTCCCGCTATGGGGCTGCCCCATAGCGCCCCTCTGAGCATCCCCCTGCCCCATATCCCACACTGGTACCCCCATGGACCACTGCCGTTATCCCTGCATCCCTATGGGGAGCATCCTTTACCTGGATGGAAGCGGATGATGGGGCTGCCCCATAGACCCACGATGGTGCTGCCCCCTATGTCCCGCTATGGGGCTGCCCCATAGCGCCCCTCTGAGGGTCCCTTACCCGGGTTGAAGAGGATGATGGCCCGCAAGCATCCCAGCTCTGTCTTATCCATGCGCATGTCCCGCATCTTGGATACGAGCTCCGTCAGCACCCTATGGGGCAGGGGGGGTTCAGTGGGGCAGCGGGGAGTTCAGTGGGGCAGGGGGGTCAATGGGGGTCAATGGGTTCAATGGGGTGGGGGGGGGTTCAGTGGGGCAGGGGGGGTTCAGTGGGGCGGGGGGGGTTCAGTGGGGCAGGGGGGGTCAATGGGGCAGGGGGTTTCAGTGGGGCAGGGGGGGTCAATGGGGCAGGGGGGGTCAATGGGTGTCAATGGGTTCAGTGGGGCAGGGGGGATTCAGTGGGGCAGGGGGGGTTCAGTGGGGCCGGGGGGTCAATGGGGTTCAATGGGGTCATTCCATGGCAGTGCCAGCCCCATTCCACCCCGTTGCGACCCCATTCCAGCCCCATTCCAGCCCCATTGCAACCCCGTTCCAACCCCATTCCAGCCCCATTGCTGCCCCATTGCACCCCCATTGCGACCCCATTCTGCCCCATTCCAGCCCCATTCCAGCCCCATTGCAACCCCGTTCCAACCCCATTCCTGCCCCATTGCAACCCCATTTAAACCCCATTCCAGCCCCATTGCGACCCCATTCTGCCCCAATGAAACCCCATTGAAACCCCATTCTGCCCCATTGCGACCCCATTGCAGCCCCATTCCTGCCCCATTGAAACCCCATTGAAACCCCATTCCAGCCCCATTCCTGCCCCACTGCTGCCCCATTGCCGCCCCATTGCTGCCCCATTGCAACCCCATTCTGCCCCATTGCTGCCCCACTGCTGCTCCATTGAAACCCCATTGAAACCCCATTCCAGCCCCATTGCTGCCCCACCGCTGCCCCATTGAAACCCCATTGCAACCCCATTGAAACCCCATTGAAACCCCATTTAAACCCCATTCTGCCCCATTGCAGCCCCATTGAAACCCCATTCCAGCCCCATTCCACCCCATTCCAAACCCATTGAAACCCCATTCCTGCCCCATTGCAAAACCATTCTGCCCCATTGCAACCCCATTGCAACCCCTTTCCTGCCCCATTGCGACCCCATTGCTGCCCCATTGCAACCCCATTCCACCCCATTCCAAACCCATTGAAACCCCATTCCTGCCCCATTGCAAAACCATTCTGCCCCAATGAAACCCCAATGAAACCCCATTGCCGCCCCATTGCTACCCCATTGCAACCCCATTCCAGCCCCATTGCAACCCCATTGTGACCCCATTGCAACCCCATTCTGCCCCATTCCAGCCCCATTCCTGCCCCATTGCTGCCCCACCTCTGCCCCATTGCAACCCCATTCCTGCCCCATTGCTGCCCCATTGCGACCCCAGTCTGCCCCATTGCAACCCCATTGCTACCCCATTGCTGCCCCATTGGGACCCCATTCTGCCCCATTGCAACCCCATTCTGCCCCATTCCAGCCGCATTCCAGCCCCATTCCAGCCCCATTCCAACCCCATTGCAACCCCATTCTGCCCCATTGCAACCCCATTCTGCCCCATTGCAACCCCATTCCTGCCCCATTGCGACCCCATTCCAACCCCATTGAAACCCCAAAGAAACCCCATTGCAATCCCATTGCTGCCCCATTCCAACCCCATTCCGTCCCCATTCCTGCCCCATTGTGACCCCATTCCAACCCCATTCCGTCCCCATTCCTGCCCCATTGTGACCCAATTCCAACCCCATTCCAACCCCATTCCTGCCCCATTCCAGCCCCATTGAAACCCCATTGCAACCCAATTCCAGCCCCATTGCGACCCCATTCCTGCCCCATTGAAACCCCATTGAAACCCCAATGAAACCCCATTGCAACCCCATTTCTGCCCCATTCCTGCCCCATTGCGACCCCATTCTGCCCCACTGAAACCCCATTCCAACCCCATTGAAACCCCATTCCAGCCCCATTGCTGCCCCACCGCTGCCCCATTGAAACCCCATTGAAACCCCATTCCAGCCCCATTGCGACCCCATTGAAACCCCATTGCTGCCCCACCGCTGCCCCATTGCTGCCCCACAGCTGCCCCACCTCTGCCCCATTGCAACCCCATTCCTGCCCCACCGCCGCCCCACTGAAACCCCATTGCAGCCCCATTGAAACCCCATTGAAACCCCATTCCAGCCCCATTCCACCCCATTCCAACCCCATTGAAACCCCATTGGAACCCCATTCCTGCCCCATTGCTGCCCCATTGCACCCCCATTGCAACCCTATTCCAGCCCCATTGCTGCCCCACTGCTGCCCCATTGAAACTCCATTCCAACCCCATTCCAGCCCCATTGAAACTCCATTCCAACCCCATTCCAGCCCCATTCCAACCCCATTCCAGCCCCATTGCTGCCCCATTGCGACCCCATTCCAGCCCCATTCCAGCCCCATTCCAACCCCAATGAAACCCCATTCCAACCCCATTGGAACCCCATTGAAACCCCATTCCAGCCCCATAGCAACCCCATTCCACCCCATTCCAAACCCATTCCAGCCCCATTCCACCCCATTGAAACCCCATTCCTGCCCCATTGCAACCCCATTCTGCCCCATTCCAAACCCATTGAAACCCCATTCCTGCCCCATTCCAGCCCCATTCCTGCCCCATTCCCGCCCCATTGCAACCCCATTGAAACCCCATTGCTGCCCCACTGCCGCCCCATTCCTGCCCCATTGCTGCCCCATTCCAGCCCCATTCCTGCCCCATTGCTGCCCCATTGCAACCCCATTCCAGCCCCATTGAAACCCCATTGAAACCCCATTGCCGGCCCATTCCTGCCCCATTGAAACCCCATTCCAGCCCCATTGTGACCCCATTCCAACCCCATTGCAACCCCATTGCAACCCCATTGAAACCCCATTCCAACCCCATTCCTGCCCCACCGCTGCCCCACTGAAACCCCATTGCTGCCCCATTGCAGCCCCATTGAAACCCCATTGAAACCCCACTGCCGCCCCATTCCTGCCCCATTGCAACCCCATTCCTGCCCCATTGCGACCCCACCGCTGCCCCATTCCTGCCCCACCGCTGCCCCATTCCTGCCCCACCGCTGCCCCATTCCTGCCCCACCGCTGCCCCATTGCACCCCCATTGTGACCCCATTCCTGCCCCATTGTGACCCCATTCCACCCCATTGCAACCCTATTCCAACCCCATTCCTGCCCCATTGCCGCCCCATTGCAGCCCCATTCCAGCCCCATTCCTGCCCCATTGCGACCCCATTGCTGCCCCATTCCTGCCCCATTGCTGCCCCATTGCTGCCCCATTGAAACCCCATTGAAACCCCATTCCAGCCCCACTGCTGCCCCACCGTTGCCCCATTGAAACCCCATTGAAACCCCATTCCTGCCCCATTGCAACCCCATTCCTGCCCCATTGCAACCCCATTGCTGCCCCATTGCACCCCCTTTGTGACCCCATTCCACCCCATTGCAACCCTATTCCAGCCCCATTGCTGCCCCATTGAAACCCCATTGCTGCCCCATTGGAACCCCATTCCAGCCCCATTGCAACCCCATTGCAGCCCCATTCCTGCCCCATTGAAACCCCATTCCTGCCCCATTGAAACCCCATTCCAGCCCCATTGAAACCCCATTCCAACCCCATTGCAACCCCGTTCCAACCCCATTCCTGCCCCATTGCAACCCCGTTCCAACCCCATTCCTGCCCCATTGCAACCCCGTTCCAACCCCATTCCAGCCCCATTGCCGCCCCACCTCTGCCCCACAGCACCCCCCAACCTGTCGAAGATGGCCCCGACGCCGGCGCTGTGGGCGCTGTTGCGGTGGACGTGGAGCCCCGTGGCCAGGAGGATCCCGTCCTGCACGGAGATGGAGCGGTGCGAGAAGGAGGCGATGAGCAGCTCGTTCCAGCCTGCAGGCAATGGGGCGGCCCCATAAGTGTGGGGCGGACCCATAAGTGTGGGGCGGACCCATAAGTGTGGGGCGGACTCATAAGTGTGGGGTGGACCCATAAGTGTGGGGCGGCCCCATAAGTGTGGGGCGGACCCATAAGTGTGGGGCGGACTCATAAGTGTGGGGTGGACCCATAAGTGTGGGGCGGACCCATAAGTGTGGGGCGGACTCATAAGTGTGGGGAGGACCCATAAGTGTGGGGGGGACCCATATGTGTGGGGTGGACCCATAAGTGTGGGGGGGATGCATAAGTGTGGGGCGGACTCGTAAGTTTGGGGTGGACCCCTATGTGGGGGGGGGACCCATAAGTGTGGGGTGGACCCGTATGTGTGGGGGGGACCCATAAGTGGGGGGGGGACCCATAAGTGTGGGGCGGACCCGTATGTGTGGGGGGGACCCATAAGTGTGGGGCGGACCCATAAGTGTGGGGCGGACCCATAAGTGTGGGGGGGACTCATAAGTGTGGGGCGGACCCATAAGTGTGGGGTGGACCCATAAGTGTGGGGCGGCCCCATAAGTGTGGGGCGGACCCATAAGTGTGGGGTGGACCCATAAGTGTGGGGGGGACTCGTAAGTGTGGGGGGGACCCATAAGTGTGGGGCGGACACATAAGTGTGGGGTGGACCCATAAGTGTGGGGCGGCCCCATAAGTGTGGGGCGGCCCCATAAGTGTGGGGTGGACTCGTAAGTGTGGGGTGGAGTCATAGGTGTGGGGTGGTCTCATAAGTGGGGGGGGACCCATAAGTGGGGGGGGGACCCATAAGTGTGGGGCGCACACATAAGTGTGGGGTGGACTCTTAAGTGTGGGGTGGACCCATAAGTGTGGGGTGGACCCATAAGTGTGGGGCTGACCCATAAGTGTGGGGTGGACCCATAAGTGTGGGGCGGACCCATAAGTGTGGGGCGGACACATAAGTGTGGGGTGGACTCATATGTGTGGGGTGGACTCATATGTGTGGGGTGGACTCGTAAGTTTGGGGTGGACCCCTATGTGGGGGGGGGACCCATAAGTGTGGGGTGGACTCATAAGTGTGGGGCGGACCCATAAGTGTGGGGCTGCCCCATATATGCAGGTCGGCCCCATAAGGGGCAGCCCCATAAGTGTGGGGCAGTCCCATATGTGTGGGGCAGTCCCGTAAGTGTGGGGTGGCCCCATGTGTGTGGGGTGGACCCATAAGTGTGGGGCAGTCCCATATGTGTGGGTCAGACCCATAAGTGTGGGGCAGTCCCATATGTGTGGGTCAGACCCATAAGTGCGCTGCGGCCCCATACGTGTGGGGCGGGTCCGTAAGTGTGGGGTGGCCCCGTGTGTGTGGGGCAGAATCGTAAGTGTGGAAGCTGGCAGAAGTGGGGCCCCCACAGAAACCCCATAGGACCCCATAGGGACCCCATAGAGCCCCATAGGGACCCTATAGCACCACATAGCACCCCATAGAGACCCCATAGACCCCCATAGGACCCCATAGAGACCCACAGGTCCACAATAGGACCCCATAGGGACCCCATAGACCCCCATAGGGACCCCATAGACACCCATAGACACCCCATAGAGCCCCATAGCGCCCCATAGACCCCCATAGGACCCCATAGAGCCCCATAGCTGCCCCATAGCGCCCCATAGCGCGGTACCTGCCCGCAGGAGGATGACCTGGTCGTCGAGGGGCAGCTGGCAGAAGCGGGGCCCCCATAGAAACCCCATAGACCCCCATAGGGACCCCATAGAGACCCATAGGGACCCCATAGCATCCCATAGACCCCCATAGACACCCTATAGACCCCCATAGACCCCCATAGGGACCCCATAGGACCCCATAGAGACCCATAGACACCCCATAGCGCCCCATAGCTGCCCCATAGACACCCCATAGCGCGGTACCTGCCCGCAGGAGGATGACCTGGTCGTCGAGGGGCAGCTGGCAGAAGCGGGGCCCCCATAGAAACCCCATAGACCCCCATAGGGACCCCATAGACCCCCATAGACACCCCATAGACCCCCATAGGACCCCATAGAGACCCATAGACACCCCATAGCACCCCATAGAGACCCATAGGGACCCTATAGCACCCCATAGACCCCCATAGGGACCCCATAGCACCCCATAGACACCCCATAGCTGCCCCATAGCGCCCCATAGCGCGGTACCTGCCCGCAGGAGGATGACCTGGTCGTCGAGGGGCAGCTGGCAGAAGCGGGGCCCCCATAGAAACCCCATAGACCCCCATAGGGACCCCATAGAGCCCCATAGAAACCCCATAGACCCCCATAGGGACCCCATAGAGACCCATAGACACCCCATAGCTGCCCCATAGCGCCCCATAGCGCGGTACCTGCCCGCAGGAGGATGACCTGGTCGTCGAGGGGCAGCTGGCAGAAGCGGGGCACCCTCTTGGCCCACTCGACCAGGGTGAAGAGCTGCTGGTCCGCGGCCTGGCAGATGTTGGTCACCGGGTCACGGGGCTGGGGGGGCGAGCAGTGAGGGGGGGGTGGAGGTTGGGGGGGGGGGGGGGAGGGAAAGGGGGATGGGGGGGTGGGAGAGGGGGAAGGGATGGGG